GGACGGCGAACCGCGGCCAGTGGGGGCCGCGATTGGCCAAACCTGCCGCGTCAGCAGGTAAATAAACTGGCCCGGCCCGCCAGGGTGCTTACCCTGGCGAGCCGCGTGCCAAACGTTGCCGACCCCTGGCGTAGACTATGCACCCTTTCAGGCTACTCCTCTTTCAAACCCCCACACTTTGCAAAGCACTATTTTTGCAAACAACCACCTCTCTCTTCAAACACAAAGAAGTCAGAAAATTCAGCTTATTTGGAGGATTCAACAGGCTGTACATTCCTGGGACTTTAATACGAAGCTATCATTTCCCCACTTCTGCAATTGAAATATTGTCCTTCCCTGAGGTTTTTGCACAATTCTAACCTTACCTTATGAGTGAGGAACAGCCTCTGTTTCCAGCCTTCTTTTTGAATCAGGTTTAATCCCCCTCCTGAACTGCCCAGAGCCAGCCATTTCCGAGACACAGCTATACATGTGCACTGAAAGAATTATGACACAGGACACTGTAGCTACTTAAATAAATGTAAATTCCACTGATAATGGCATCTCATATTTGTCCTTTATTTGTTAAAAACCAAAGCTTTGACAAATAACCCATTCTATGCCTATCGTTCATCCCCCACCCCCACCCCCAAGATATGCAACAGCAAGGCCAGGTTGTCAGAGAAGTGCAACCAGTGCATTCTAAAAGGGGAGTGGATAACAAAAGCAAACAAACTCTTGAAGACTGTTTTCCAGCAAATATCTTTAGTGATAAAGGACACAGAAAGACACATTCAGGTTTTTTCATAAGCTGTTTGGGCACTTTAAACCTTGTTAGACTATATTTTTTAAACAAGGGCAAAAGTTATTTTCTTTTGATGGATCTGCCATCATACTCAATAAGCACAGCAAACTGTTCTATACTTTGATCTATGAAGTTGTCCATCGGAGTAAGGTAGCATCCACTTAAAGTTTAGCCAATCATCCAATTTCATGGGCTGACCAAAAAATAATTTGAATTAAAACATTTGTATTATGATTTAAGGTTTAAGTGACCATGCAGTTAGAGGCTTTGGGGTTAAATATTGCATTTTCCCTGCAATTGACTAATCTATTCTCAAAGCACCTTATATTCATAATTTGCTTCAAAAACAGAATTAAATAGCAAATTATTTTGACTTTAAGAATGGACAAGCAACATATTTAAAGATAACATGCAAGATTTTTCTATTTATTTCATTATAGACAAGAGAAAATCCATCTTTGTTTGTTCTACACTGCTCTTAACTGTTCTTCCAAGAAGCCACTGCTCTCGACCATGCAGCTGACAGTAATAAAGCTGGACCCAAGTTTTAAGTAGCAAATACCAAGTCATAATCTGCAATTTGCATAATAGCTTCTAATCTAGAGCTATACAAATCAAAGTAATTTTATGCAGTCATTCACCAAGCTGTAGCATGACAAAAATATTGACTTCTGTGTCTGAAAAAAAAAAAAGAAACAAGATAGTAAATGCAACAAGCATGAACCAGACTTACCTTCAGACGACTAGAATCCAACCTGAGTGCAGAAAGCAATGGATCCAAACACTCAAGTTCTGCCAATACATGGCTGTAAGATTCTGGTATCATTGGCACAGATGTCATTGAGTTAAGAAAGCCTGGCAATACTCAATCATTGGTGCATTATTTACTTCAGCTTCTAGCTGTACCTGCAGAAGTTAAATTTAAGAATATAATCCCTTTCTTGATCAATTACAATTTACTTTCTAGCCCCACCTTTGTTCCTTAAGACCTACTCTACACATAAAAGTATGCTCACATAGCTATGTCACTTAGGAGAAGGGGGGAGGGGGGAAACACCCCTAACCCAATATAGCCTGACAGCAAACACGGGGGTATAGCAGTATAGCTTATTTTGTTCAGAGAACTGGTATAAGCTATACCGGCAAAAGAAATCTTTTGCTGGTATAAACTTTGCCTACACAAAGAGGATTTGCTGGAATAGCTATACAGGAAAACACTTTTTAATGCAGACAAAGACTTAAGACTGCTCATAAAGATACAAAAGGGAGGGGGGGAATCTAACAGGTCGCAGACTTGATCCTCCTACATGGATCCGACTGCAAGGGTAGGGCCCTACTTTGTTTTGTCTATGAACTTACACTGAAATTAATTTAAGAAATGTTAGTCTGTTGGATAAGCTACAATTTGATTATTCCTAAAGGTAAATATCTGATGGGTTTACAGTCTCCTGTGCAATCTAGGCACAGCCCATAAACTAAATTGCATTGATTTAGCTAAAAATCAATTTTGAAGATCAATCTGGTTAAACCAGTGTAAATCACTGCACTGACACACTTAAAATTGATATTACATATAAAATATGTTGTTAAAATATGAATGTTACAATATCAAGCACTCAAAGGTTAAAAAAATACCAAAATTAAGGTAGCCCGTTCAATCTTAACTCAGCCTCCTTGTGCATGTGCACTATGATACACCCTAACTACATACAACAGTTTCCACAGGACCCATCATTCATGCATTGAATGGGATAGCTATTCAATATTTTTATCTTCATCTACCAGTTTGGGATCCCATGCATTATTTCGTGCACACCACCATCCAAACCTTGCACTGAATACAAAAATGGCAGTTTCCTCACAGGCTTTTTAAAAAATAACTTACCTTAAGTTTTTATACTCAACATGCTACATGTCATTAGCGTCATTGGGAGGGTGGGCATTTTTAGATCCACAGCACAGACTTCTACCACTTAATTGGCAGTAGCGGCAGACTGTTATTTACTGAGGACCAGCCACTAGAAGGATAAGACACGTACTTTGACAGCGAGTTTCAAAGATATTTGCTGACAGCAAAGAAACACTGGGACTTCTGGAATTCTTGGGTCTGTGCCAGGATATGGAGGGGAGCATCTCTAGTGTTTACAGACTAAGATATCTGTTGTTGTTCACATGTTTTAGGGGAGATTTGGCCTAATAAACAAAATACTCCAATCCCACTCTAGTACATACAGTAGCAGATTGAACAAATCACACCACCCACACCTGGAAAAGGATAATTGTTCTCCCATCTGCCATAAGCTTTCGACAACTGTTGGAAGGGGCTTTGCCATTCATCCCCTCCTTCAGGTTCTTCTGAGGAATGGGTGGGGAGCTCCCCAACTTTTTTTGTAGATCCTCTTCCCTCTGAGGATACCTCCAGTACTCATGTCTACCACCCACAGTTTCCTCAAGCTGTAGTTGAAACTGACATACATGTTCCTTCATTGCTGCCACAGAAACCTAACTACAAGTCAGCCCATGGTTTTCCCAAGGGAGCAGCAGTGCCACTAGCACTGTCTGCCTGCAGACTCAGGTCCATCGGGGTCACCTTCTTCCCCGCGCGTATGTTTCACCCATTTCTACGTTCACTTTAAGCTCAGATTGCAAGCACTTTGGGCAACAGGGCCAGGAGCTGCTTGGGGAGACTCTCCCTGCTGCCACTCATACTAGCAACAACGCGGAGCCGCCAGGACGGGAAACCGAGAAGCTATTTCAAAGTTCAGGCTCCCAGTCTGCAGAGGGTGGCTCTCGCCCGCTGGGGTTTGCTGGCGTGTCAGCTGTGGCCCCCAGGGGATGCCAGGGGAGGCTGCCGGGGAACACGGCAGCCCCTGCGAGAGCCAGCACTGCCCAGGCAGGGGAGCTGGGCGTCAGTCACACCTCGGCACCGGGACAGGAGAGGGGAGGGAACGGATGGGACCCGCCCACTGCACCTTGCTTGGTCCCCAGCGCTGCTGCGGCTCCCCCCACCCGCCTCCTGGCCCCCGGCCCAGTTTCCCGCGCGGACACTCACCCACCGAACGCCAACCTCGCCAGCTGCTTCTCCGGCCCCGCCCCCACGGCACGTGATCCTTCCCCAGGCCACCTGAAACACGTTAGCTCGCGCGCCCGCCCGCAAAAAAGTGCGTCACACGCACACAGCTAACCCCGATCACGTGACGGCTACGCTCTTTTCACCCCTCCCCCCTCGGGCGGTTGCCTAGGGAAGTCCCCGCCCCCCCTCAGCGCTGCGGTACCCCGGAGCGGAACAGACGGGACCTAACAGGCGGAACGAAAGGGAAGGAGCCGGACTCCTCGGTCTTCGGGGCCGGATGATCGGGATGGGAGGGACCGGACGGTGGCGGCCGCGTTGTTGGTACCCCGTCATCACCCCCTTCCGCGCACTGTCATGGCGACGGGAGGGGGGGAGAGGGAGAAGCCATCACGTGATCTTGGAGGGTTATGGTGGCGGGGAGAACCTGTCATGTGACCGGGAGGTGTCATGGCGACACCAGTCTCCCTCGTCACGTGACCCGGTCTCCCTCGGTGCGTCGCGGGACTTTAGCTAGTTCCGGTCACGTGCCCTTGCTGCCCAGCTCCCTGGCCACTCCATGGACCAGGAGGCGGCGAGACCCCCCTAGTAGCGGCACCGGCAGCGGCTGGACTTAGTGTCCAGCGCCACCCGCCCCCTCATCCCGCCGCGCCCGTACCCGGCGGCAGCAGCCAGCGGCGGCCTGGGGCCTGAGAAGCCGCCCGCACGGTAGGAGTCTGGACGGTGTCCAGGGGCTCGGCGGAGTCTCCGGGGGAGGGGGGAGCTGGGACAGCGGGGGCGGCGGCTGCTCCCCGGGCGGGGGCCCGTGTCTGTGGGGGCGGGGATGTGCCGGGCCGGGGTCCCTGTGCAGGCTCCTGGCGGGGAGCGAGGCACCCAGCCCTGCGAGCCGGCGTTGACAGCCCGAGAGCACAACGGCCCCCGCTGCTCCGGGCTCCCCACCCATCGCCGGGCGAGGGCAGCTCGGCTTGTCCTGCGCTGGCCGCTACCGCTGAGCGACATGCGGACAGGGGAAGAGGCGGATTTATTAATACACAGTGTGCTGGGGGGGGAGGGGAAGTGCAGCCGGGTTGGGGGAATGACAGGGCAAGCTGGGCGGGAGAGGACCCAGGGGCGTGTAGGTGCGGTAGTGGGGGCAGGAACACGTTCCTCTCTCTAGCAGTGCATAACGTCAGGGAATGTCCTGCTGACGGTGCCCGTCCAAATGAGGTAAAACCAAAGTCCTGCTCGTGTGTTTGTTAAAGATAAAAAATGCCATTGTGTAATGATCGGGATTTGATGCCTGATGGTCTGGTTGGAACCCAGCTCAGATAATCACGTGCCTCGCTAAAATATATACCTTGATCATGCACGCTGCTTTAGCAGGTGGACTTCTGAATCTCTCCATGTGGGTGTGAAAATCTGCTTGTGTGGAGTAGCTTGTAGGATCAGGTTTAAGTTACAGTTCTGTAAATATTTGTGAGACTTATCTCATTTCTCCCTCCCCCCCCCCATTTTTTTTTTAGAATCAGCATCCCATTTTAGACCTTGTTGCCATGTGTTTTGACTGACATGGGTCTGCTCATGTCTCAGTGTGCTGTGCTGCTACTAGCACAGTTGAGCCTGTTTGCCACTCAATACACTACGCTGCCAGTGCTGATAAAAGCACCACTGTGCAGGAGCACAGATGGCATCAACAGATTGGGTGATCTTTTTCTGTTTGGTGTATACATGAGACACTGAAACTTGGGAAAGAGAGGGATAAGATGAAGTTCTGGAACAAAAAGTTAAGGAAGGGGAGAGATGGAAATGTCACCAGTAATTGTCCATCCTTCAGCATTGCTATCTTGCCATAAAATCCAAGATAGTGAGAAGTACCAAAGAGGGCAGGAAACTACAGTATTACTTTCATTTTAGCTACAGTTTCAATGTCACAAGTGAAACTTCAAGATTCAGAGGTTTGATAGTGGGAAATTTAGCTGGAGATTACAGCCCATAGGCCTATATACAAAGTAAGTTAAAGGCAAAGAAATAATAGCACCACTCTCCTTTTTCCAAAATCTAAAAGAAAATTCCACAGATTTAAGAAGAGGTGGCATCTGCCATGCATTCACATCTTAGTTTTCTCTCTCAATTAAGCAAGTAATGTGTTGTTTCTTCTAGTCTTACTGCAACTAAAATACTACATTAGACTACAGATGCTTCTAACCATGCCAGGGGTCCAGACTTGTTGTGTAGACAGGCCCAAAACATAAGTTCCAGAGTTCTTCAGCTTATTGTCTTGCTTGTCTAATCAGAAAAGTTGTAGCTCTCTACCCTTCCTTACAGTAAAATGACAGATGAGCACCCTTTCTTGTCTGCCTGTCACAGAAGCCTAGGACCATTTCAAAACCCATTTTTGTCTCAGCCAAATCAGGACTATTAGTGGCATCTCTTCTCTGTCCAAACCTCACTTGCCAAAGCAATCCATGTGTGAGGGGAGTGGATAAGATCCCCTGGTGCCACTATGTTACTTGGCTACTCTAGAAGGAGCAGAGAACAGGAATGGTAGGGGAGAGCTAATTAAAGAGAAACAAAGAAGCCAGGCAAGTGGCTTAAAAGTAGCTGCTAGCTAGTCTCTGCTGCCTGACTTCATCCACCAACTAGGGAAATGGAAGTGGGTATGTTGAGGATCCTTTTCCCCACTACTGCTGTCCAGTCTTTGCTGGGCTCTTCACATCCTGCATTTATCCCTCCTTCCCCAGTTTCAAGGGGAATATTCACAAATGAGTTGGGAAATAAACAACCCTTGTAGCTCAGTCTTCCTTTGTTTTTGTTTTTTTTAACCACCACTTATGCTGCAGGATGAGTGTCAGCAGTCATATACAGCTGAAAGTTTCAGTCCCAGGAGAAGTTTTGTGCCTCCTCCATGGAGTCCTACCCACAAGTTGGAACCACTGATTTATCTACAGGCTCTTTGGAAATATTACCTCCAGTGGAGTCGTATCATAGGTGCATTTAACTTACACGATTTTAACTATATGCGCTCGGCAAAACAAAACAAAAAAGAAAAAAATAATTTAAATACTGTACCTGTAGTGCGGGCGATTCCGCCCGCCATTCCACTCAATTAGCATTTGACTATACGCGATTTTCGCCTTACGCGCTGACTTCAGAACCTAACCCCCACGTAAGATGTGACTCCCCTCTATTTTGTTATTTCAAAGGTCCTGGTGCAGAACACAAATGTTCAACAACATAACCTCATGTTTCATAGATAAATTACGGTCAGAGATAGCTAAAAGCTGTATCTAACAAGTTGTATTTTCATAATGCTTAGTACATGGCATGTACAATCCTCTTACCAGTCTTGATTGGGGGTCCCTAAGCCATCAATTTCTGCAGAATTTAAGCTTTTAAATAGAACCGGGTTTCTAGCCTTCATGGTTGCAAAGGTAATCTTTCAAATTTGAAACAAGTGTAAACTGACACAGAGCCATCTTCCTGAGTTTCAACTAGATAACTTCAATGCCTTTGCTGCTAATTTATAGTTTTGCTAAGAAGCAGCAGATTAAAATTAACAAAACTTGTCAGCTTGACTACTGTAGTTCAGACCCCTGGGAGCAGTAGTGACACTGTCATGAATCATGTCACTTTCACAGTGCTGCTGCAGACCTTCAATAGAAAGTGCACCCCAAAAATGGAGTCTGGGGGGGATGGATAAAGTATTGGGGAACTTTTTCTCCCTCACAGCAGCTAGAAAACTTTAGATGATGGAGAAGACAGTGTCTTCTTCATTCAGTTCAATAGACACATATGATCTAGAGACAATACAAAAGAGAGCCCTCCCACCAGCAATTAGAGGAGAAGCTGTTGGATTTCTATTTTAGTATTTGTATTAGTATTGCCTCAGAACCTAACTGGTGGAACCATTTTGTCTTGTTAGATAGTAGGTGTGTAGTATTTTTTTAAACCCTGATTAGTGAAATATTTTGATTCTTAATGCACTGTTTAAAGAGGACTCCAGGGTTCCCCCTCCCCCCATCTTGGATAAATGTTTGCTACTTGCGAGTAGTTTGTAGACAGTTATGTCAGAGCTGCCATCTTTAAAGTGCAATTTATAACAGAGGCATAAAAGCAAAAGAAGTAGCAATGACCAAAAAAGAACAAGCCACTTGTGGGATATTATGTATTCAGAAGCTGCATACTGCAAAGTACTGTGCCAGAAACATTAAGTCTTTGTTGGTAAAATATCAGCTGTTACTGGTTTTTCTAAGTATTCTAGTGATTACGACAGTTTTGTCACAAACAGGCAGAAATCATATACGTGCCCAATACTGTAGCATTAAAGTCAATAGCAAACCTGTTGATCTGGTTCTGGATCAAAACCTAAGTGCAAATACATCTTACTACTAAACATCTTCTCTCAAATATTGTACTTAACACACTTGTCTGATTGCTCAGCTTGTAACATTTTCACTGAGCAGAGTGCTGGTCCTTACTAATTATCCATATAGATGTTCAGGTTTAAAACAATCAGATTTTTATTTTCAAAGTTGTACAGTATTTAAAATCCGGGTAAAAAACATATCCATAGGTAAGTATAAATGGATATATAGATATTGATTTCTGATACCTATTCTTAATACGTGTTAAAATATTATACAGATGTTCTTTTAAAGTATTGATGTAGATCTTGGCAATTAAAATATAAGAAAATGTAAATGTGCATATTCAAAGTATTGAAAGGATCTCTAAAACTACTTAATACACTGGTAGCAAAGTGAGGCGGGGGCAGTAAGGTACATGGCAAATAAAAAAACTGCAGGAGTAGGATGGGAATAAAATATTTAAAGGATGTAGTACGGAAGGAAACTTCATGTCATTCTGATAGGAGTGAAATTTGTAGTGATGGAATATAGTAAAATTTGTATGTTAAATTTCTCAAGAGAACAGATAAATAGTAAGATTGGGAAAACTATAAAGGAAAAAAGACATTGGCACTCTCGTTACCCTTCTTCCCAATTACAGAAGGGCTTATTGATGTCAATGACAAAACTCTCAATCTTTCTGTGGTTGCAAGATTAGAGCTTGAGTATTTTTGGAACAAAATAAATAGGCCAGTTAAAATTATGATTGTGTCTGAAGTCTCATTCAAGTCTTGCATGGTAATCAGGGGATCGTGCTGAAGGAAGCGGAAAGTAACTAGTTCATCGTTTTACTCGGGAGATACAGTTGCAAGAACCTGTAAGTCTACGATACTTTCGTCCCTCTCCCCTTCCAAGTAGTTTTAACATATAGAGTTCCCATCACAAAAGGAAAGCACTATGAAATGCCACCAGGGATTTGGAGTGTACACGCTCTCTGAGGTATAAGCGCTCTTCACAACTTGACAAACCAGTAAAGAAACATAAAAGAGAAATAGAAAATATAGGAATTAGATGAAATGTAGGTGTAGCTGGAGCACAAGGAGGATTGGAAAAGAAATCTAAGTATAATATGGCTGTGGGTTATTATAGTTGTATGTGACTATTTTATTTAATCCGAAAAAGTTTGACCGCATGTATAAAGTGGAGCTCAGAGTGTTTGTCTGATAAGGCTTGGACAATGACTGTATGCTGCTGTTAGTTTACAGAATGTAAATATTGAAGTGCAAATGCAAGTTTTGAAGCCTTGAAACAAGTTGGAATACTGGAAAAAATCTGTCAATGGAAATACTGCACTAGTTGCTATTGAATTAAGTAACTAACTGTACCATGTGCTTTTAATAGCACCTTATAGCCATCATGGCAACATCATCTGAGGAAGTGTTACTGATCGTAAAGAAGGTGCGTCAAAAGAAACAGGATGGGGCTCTCTACCTTATGGCTGAAAGGATAGCATGGGCACCTGAAGGCAAAGACCGATTCACAGTCAGCCATATGTATGCAGATATAAAATGTAAGTGAAAGCTCTTTCTATTGCTCTTGTATGCAAATTCTCAGTAAATATTTAAATAAGACTCAAACCTTATTTTACATGTATTTGGCCAATTTGGTCATTTCATTAGATTATTCTTTCTGGCAAACATGAGTGGATCCAGGAGTAAATTGCAGGCATAGAAGATTCTGCAATTCAAAAGTTTTTCAGGTGTTTTTAATATAGATCCCAAATTTCTTAAATATTTCTTTCATTTTCCCACTTTGCTAACAATCTCTGCAATAGCTTGGAAGCAGAAATATGTATTGTAGTCTAATGAAAAATCACCTAGGCCATATGTCTTGTTTTGGGGGATTTATGGGGTCTAAGAGGAAACTACCTAACCCAGGGGTAGGCAACCTATGGCACGCGAGCTGATTTTCAGTGGCACTCTCACTGCCCAGGTCCTGGCCACAGGTCCGGGGGGCTCTGCATTTTAATTTAATTTTAAATGAAGCTTCTTAAACATTTTAAAAACCTTGTTTACTTTATATACAACAATAATTTAGTTATATATTATAGACTTATAGAAAGAGACCTTCTAAAAACATTAAAATGTATTACTGGCACGCGAAACCTTAAATTAGAGTGAATAAATGAAGACTTGGCACACCACTTCTGAAAGGTTGCCGACCCCTGACCTAACCTATTTTCGGCTAATTAGGATGTGCATCTAGCTCTGCGACAGTCTATTCTATAAAAACCCAGCTCACAGTGAGATGTAAATTGATTAAAGTTTGATAGAGTTATGTGGTGTGATAGTTTATTATACTAGCCTCTCATCTTTGGAAATCTAGATTAGAATATGATATATAGTGGGGTCACAGCTGAAAATACGTTCATTCATATCATCCGTGTCCTCCAAAATTACTTGACAGTTTGGCTTGACTAGTAATCTTGTTCAGTAAACACCCACAACTGAAATAGTAGTGTGCTGTAAGTCAAAACTGAGTTTCCATAGTGCCTGCTTGTGCTGTGCCTGCATCAGATTAGTGCTGTCTGTCCTTACTCAATACCAAAAACACAAATCCTTGCAAATTGCATACATCTTTTTCTGTCTGTAGCCCTAGAACATATGCTATCTAAATTCATATAGGATTGTTGCAACGTTTTTAAAAGGTATATGTGGCTGTTAATCATGCTGAGTCAAAACTTTAAAATGCAGTGCTCGCTAACATATCTGCTTAATAACCATTTAGAAAGTCTGTTCACCTATTATATCTAGAAGTAGTGTGAAGCTATTATCCTCTCCACCTATTGAGCCTATCATAGCATTTACATATTGTAGTTTAGAAGACTGGAGGGGGAGATATCAGTTCTTGCAGACATTGAGTAAATGGAGTAACATTCTCTCAAATTCCAGCCTTTACATCTGTAGGCATAGAGAGAATCATAGGAAGCTGAAAGATGCTCCCTTTGTTGTTTGTGGGCTCAGATCTTGAGGTGTGGTAGGGCAGCTTATGCTGGCTTTAAGGAAACAGTGCAAATAGGACAATGCCTCCATATAGAAGCAGGTAGATATGCACTATGGGCAGTGTAGATTTCCCATAGTTGGTCCTATATCTACTTTTTCTCTGTGGCTATGGGAAAGGAGGGAAGGGCTCAGGCATCCTTATGACTTAGTGATCTCCATCTGCTCTAAGCAGCGCTTTGGGGCCATTGCTAGGCCCTGCAACTTGGAGGGACCTGAGGGCTGCTCTGAGTTTTGCTAGAAAACTAGCAAAGGTGGCCAAGGAGTACTCTTCTGCAGCTCAGGATCTGGGCCTCTCAGGATGTCTTTGGTTGCAGTGGGAAAAGTGAGATGCAGCTTTTAAAGCTAACTTGTAGAGGCAGCTGCATGCTTCACTTCCAGGGCTGGAAGAAATGTGCTATAATGCCACCAATGTGGGATATCAGGATTTAATGGGATGATGCAGACAACAGCATATAAATGAATGTTCTGGGGAGAAAGTTTGTTACATAAATGTACTTATATCACTAATTGCTGTTCTTTATATATTCTAGGCCAGAAAATCAGTCCTGAAGGAAAGGCTAAAATTCAGCTACAGCTGGTATTGCATGCAGGGGACACAACCAACTTCCACTTCTCTAATGAAAGCACAGCAGTGAAGGAACGAGATGCAGTGAAGGACCTTCTTCAGCAGCTGTTACCCAAATTCAAGAGGAAAGCAAATAAAGAACTTGAGGAAAAGAACAGGTAAAGTGGCAGGGGAGAGGGAGAAGATCTTCAAAAAGGAATCTGTCATTTCCCCCTCTCTAAAAACAACATAAATGTTGCTTGTGACTTGTGAACAGTTCTTGAGCTATATTGCTGTAGCACAAGAGTGCTTGTTGTGTTCTACTTCAGTAGTAAAAATCTGTTGGCTTTAGATTCTGGTAAAATTCCTCTGAATTTCATGTTTTCATGTTACAGGACTTATGTAAGCAAGCCATTTATTTTGTTAAAAGCTTTGTGACTAACCTGTTACCTCATAAGGATCAATGGATTTCACAGAGAGAGAGACTAGAAATTACTTCCTTCTAGCAGACAAGCAGAGCAAGATAAATGATGCATTGGAATCTATTCATTTCCTCCCCAACCGTGGACTACAAATACTCCAATCAGTTTCCTTCCTAAATTGAACATAGCTATACCATTTTTCTAAATAGACTTGTGTTCAGCAGGGTGGAAATAAGACTTGAGTGCACAGTTCATTAAATATTACAGTATTTTTAAAGAGTAGGAACAGTTGTATAATTTTGAAGTATTGGAAAACACACTCCAGTTTTGTGTTTTAAAAAAAAATTTGAATTTTTCCTCATGGTATCCATTTAGAAAGGACATGATGGAGGGTTTGCAGGCTAGAATTTGCTATTTCATTAGTAATTAGGCTTTTTTTAAACTCCCCATTTCTAAATAACCTCTCAAACTCTGATTTCTGTCTACTTCTGTAGTATTTCTAGATTGGAATTTCTGATAGGTAACATGAGACTGAGTAGGAAATTCTTAACTGTCTTGACTTAACATGTGAAGTGCAATAAATACACTGCCTACAACAAAACAAAACATAGGCTATTTGAGTTCTTGTCCATATTCTGCTTGCTGAGCGTGTGCTTGGACTGGAGTCTTTTTTGGCCAGCATTGTCCTTTGGGGCTGCACATGCACATTGAGTGTCCTTGTACCAAGGACATGAAGGGCAGAGTGGGTCCCCCTGCCGTTCAGTTCCTTCTGACCATCCATAACTGCAAAATGGAGCTCCTCAGTGTCCAGGTCTCAATGCAACCTTTTTCATAGTCTTTATAGATAATTGTGTATGTGTGCGTGTGTGTATGTATATATATATATATTTATATTAGTGCTAGGATAGTTATTTGATTAGTTTGGAAATTTTTACCTTCCTTATTTTGATTCTCTCACTCCCCCAGAACCTCTGATCAGGATGTTCTTGTCAGTACCGAGGATTAAATTACATGGCTTTAAGTATTGTCCCTTTTGCCAAGCAGCAATTCCAGTTAACAATGGGCATCCCAGATTCCTTTTTGTCTTGGAAAGGCTCATATCTCTGACAAACACTCACTGTGCATGTCTGTCGTTGGGTGAAAGTTGCTGTCGGAGCTCCTCCTCATGTCAGTACACAACATCGCAGGGGTTCTTCCAGTCCCGCACTTCCTTTTGTTGGCTGATCTTTTCTGCAGCGGTCGTCTTCAAGCAACCTGGCGCTATGGCCTGGTCTCACACAAAGTTCAGTCTCTCTCTTCGATAGCAAAGGTCCAACCAAAAGGTCAGACAAACAATTCTTCTGCCTCTTTTGGTTACTCTTCAGCCCACCTTCTTGATTCTGTTCTCAGCTCCTTCTGGGCCATCTTTAAATTAGGTCTGTCAAGCTATTAAACAAATTAATTGCAATTAATCAGAGTTTTAGTCGCACTGTTTAAATAAATCGTATTCTATTTAATATTTTAGGATGTTTTATACATTTTCAAATATTGATTTCAATTACAACACAAAGTGTACAATGCTCACTTTATATTATTATTTTTGATTACAAATTTGCGCTGCAAAAAAGACAAACAAAAGCAATAGTATTTCAATTCATCTCATACAAGTGCTGTAGAGACTGGTGCAGGGAGGCTGAGCTCACCAGGCCTTTGTTCTCTATGGGTTACCCCCCAGAGTGAGGGGCCGGTCGGGGGCAATGGAACATGGAGGGAGTAGTCCCCGGAGCAAGGAGCTGGCCAAGGACAATAGGATGTGGGGGGAGGTTGGTCCCCCCAGAGCAAGGGGCCGGCTGGGGGCAGTGGGGCACAGTGGGGTCAGGATTCCTTCCTCTCCACCGGAGCTGGGATGGGAGCCACTTCCTCTTCTCTCCTCTCCTCTTCCTGCCCTCCAGAGGCAGATTAGGTTACCGCACCTAACCAGGCACTGTAGGGTCCCTCCAAGGCCGATGCCTCCTTCCCCTCCCAGAGATATGCGATTAATACTGTTAAAAATATTAACACGTTAATTTTGTTTTCAGTTAATCACAGGCATTAACTGTAATTAATTGACAGCCCTACTTTAAATCCTTCTAATACAGCACTGATTTTTTAGGCTGCTTTTCCTGGAGTCATTTTCATAGTAGGTTCCCCCCCTAGTGTGTCTCATTCCAAGGACCTCCCTGCTTCTTGCAGACTCGTAGCTCAAGGCCTCCCATAGGAGCTTAACTTGCTCCCTGTGGTTCCTTATCCCTCCAGGAGTTTCTTGCTGTCTGTAGCCTCTGGCACAGCTTCCTCTCCAACTATTCTCTCTCAAGCCTTTTTATGAGGCCCAGATGTTCAGCTTACTATCACCTGATCCCATTAGTCCAGTCCCCTCAAGTTAAGTTAATTGTGGCCTAAAAGACTTTAAAGATTTGGGAGATGCATCTTACTTTTTTTTTGTTTTTGTTAGACCATTCAATGCACCCAGCCTCCAATTCAGGCAGGGCAGACTCCCCCCTGGACAAAATAGGGAAGACCTCATACTTATGCCAAACAGAGACCATCATCTGGTACCTTCTTTCACCAGAGAGCCTCAAAGCTTCCAAGAACAAGGCAGCATTTTCAAAAAAGGAGCTCTTCTGTCTTGGCTATGACTTCATCCCATTCTCCGTCTATATCTAAATGATTATTTCAGTGGGTTGGTTGAGAGTCGCTCTGATCAGTCTACTGGATCAACACCCTTCCTTCTTGTGCCACTCCCTACACACATGCAATTGAGAATCTTCTTCAATTTTTCAAGGAGTCATGGAACCTGATAAGAGATACTCATAGCTGGATATTCTCTACAGTTCCATACTATGCCCACTCCGTCTCCCTGTCCCTTTCAGGGTTGGGGAGCATACCTGGACCATCATCAGGAGATTCTACTACATATAAACATATTGGAGCCTCGAGCTCTTTGCAAAGCCTGGTCCACGTTCCTACCATTGACTCAAGGACTGACTAAACAAGTTATGAAATACAACACAATGGCTATGTTTTATATAAACAGGCAGGGAGGGGCCCATTCATCCCCATTATGGCAAAAGGACATGGTTTCACTATGGAATTGGTGCATGAAGCACCAAGTATCTTCCAGGTCTACAGAATGCTCAAATGGTCTGCTAGAGCAGACATTTTTCATCAGACCACCAGTGGATGATCAAGGATTCTATTGTCTGCTGCATTTTCTAGGAGTGGGATCATCCTTCAATAGACCTGCTCACAACAGACAAGAGCAAGAAGTATGTCAGCTTCTGCTCCAGGATCTCTGTTAAACACACTCCTCATTCATTGATTCCCCAGGGATGATGTATGCTTACCAGCCAATCCCTGATTCCCAGGGTGCTGAGGAATAGCAGATAGGATGCGGCCACAGTTATCATGATAGCTCCTACCTGGCCAAGGTAGCTTTGGTACCTGGAGCTGATGCTGTTATCAGTTCATCCACTGAAAACCTTTCCTCTTCTAGCAAACTTAATCTTTCAAGACAACATGAACAACTCGCATCCAAATCCAGCCTCCCTCTATCTCACTGCTTGGCTCCTGAGTGGATGTCAGACAGCCAGATCATTCTGGACATCTGAGGAACATGTGTTAGTCCAGAGTAGGACTAACTTATGCTGCTAAATGGAAAAGATCCAGGATTTGCTGTGAACAATGTAAATTACAGCCTATTGACAACCGGGTCCCTCCTGTTTTGGATTGCTTGCTTACTCTAAAGAGTTTGGGACTGTTGATTAGCTCTGTTAGAGTGCGCCTCGTAGCCCCTTCTGCTTATTACACCTTCCCCGCCCCCCATTGAAAACTACAGTTTTTTCCCACCCCCTTGTGGTGAAATTCCTTAAAGGCCTTATATATGTTTTTCCATCAGTAAGGAAACCTCCCAGTCCATAGGACCTTAATGTGGTTGTGGCGTACTTAATGCTCTTCCCTCTCGCTTGACTTATCTATGGGTACGTCTACACTTACCGGAGGGTCCGACGGCAGGCAATCGATGTTCTGGGATCGATTTATCGCGTCTGGTTTAGACGCGATAAATCGATCCTGGAAGTGCTCGCCGTCGACGCCGGTACTCCAGCTCGGCGAGAGGAGTACGCGGCATCGACGGGGGAGCCTTCCTGCCGCGTCTGGACCCGCGGTAAGTTCGGACTAAGGTACTTCGAATTCAGCTACGTTATTAACGTAGCTGAATTTGCGTACCTTAGTCCGAAGTGGGGGGGTAGTGTGGACCAGGCCTATGAAAACATCCTTTTTAGTAGCAATTACATCAGCTAATTAGAGTTGGGGCAATACAGGTTCTTATGACAGGACCTCCCTATACCATATTTCTTAGAGAGAAGGTATCACTCACACCCCATCCCAAGTTCTTGCCCAAATGATTCACTTACCAATATTCTTCCCTAAGTCACATATTAATCAGGGGAAGATTAGGCTGCACACCTTAACTTATTTGCAGAGCTCTATCCATTTATTTGCAAAGGACTAAATCCTTCAGGACCTCTCTGAATCAATTTACAGCATTTGCTGAGAGAATGAAAGGTTGAGCAGCATCAGCCCAGAGGCTATCCATGTGTGTTTCAGTTTGTATTAAGATTTGTTACAAATTCGCTAGTTTAGATACCCAACAGCTTCCTGGCAAAGCATACCTATTTCAGACACTTGAAAAGAAGTTATTTGTGGTTCAATCCATACTTTAGTAAACCTGTTCCCGGGTAGAAGCATTGAGGTCTGATGCTGTGCTGCAGTCTTTATGTAAACTCCAGGCACCTGCCTACTTGCATCAGGTCATTGCTTGTGAGTCACCAAGAATGGAATATATATTGACAACCACTTAAGGAAAAAAAAAAGTTATTTGAAATGTGTTTTCCATGTATATTCCGAGACCCATCCTTCTTCCCTGCTACTATGGAGTCCTAGAATGTCTGGATTCGGTGATGGTGAAGGAAATACTGGCAGTTGGGCATACTCTGCCCTTTATATCCTTGGAACAGGAGCATGATGACTCTCAGGGTGCATGTGCATCCCCACTGGACAGTGCTGGCCAAAAGACTAAGACTCCGATCTCAACCACATGGGCACCAAGAGTGACTATAGATTGACAGTAGCTTTCAAACTCCAGTTACTGTAAGGCAAGTAACTTTTTTCTTTTTGTGGCCACCATCTTCTTTCTAGGGATCACCATTTTTCCCCATTAAAACTACCCCTCGTCCAGCAGCTTTGTTTCTGTTTAGGGCTTGTCTACACAAGGACACTCACAAAAGTTAAGATGAATCAACTAAAGATATGAAATTAAAGTGCATAAATTAAAGCATGTTAAACCTGGGTGGACTCTTCTTAAGTGAGGATTAAGCTACAGTGAACTACGGCCATTTTACTTCTGAATGAGTGACCACACAGGGGTTTAATACCTTTTAAACAAATGCTTGTGAACTTCACATCTTCAGTTGATTTTTCTTCACTTCCCTGAGTGTCCCCATGCAGACATACCCTTAGTCTCTCCACTTTGGCCAATTATGAATAGCAGTATTGGCCTCAATATCTCACTTGTACAACTAATTATAACTTTTCTTTGACAATGCTGTGCGTTTCTTACATCACTATGATCTGTTCCCTTCAGGAACCCATATGGCTTATTGACATGGAAATCCTGATGAATTAGTGTGGAATGTTTCAATTTTATTCAATACATTCTTTTACTAGAATGCTGCAAGAAGATCCTGTTTTGTTTCAGCTTTATAAAGACCTCGTTGTGAGCCAAGTAATTAGTGCTGAAGAATTCTGGGCCAACCGTTTAAGCTTGAACGCTGTGGATAATTCTGTGGCACCTAGTAAGCAGGATGTGGGCATCTCTGCAGCTTTTCTGGTACGTTTGACCTACATAACATAGGAAGGATTTTAAAACAAAAACATTTATTTCTTGGCTAGGCTTGCTCTGTAAAATGTGGGAAAATTAAAATTTAAATTTTACCCTAAATACAATTGCTTTGAAATCTTTTTCTACCTAATGAAATACAAACAAAAAAAAAGCCCTGACCTGAGGTTTAATGTGTGTGTGGGGGGGGGAGGGGGGTTGGGGTTTTTTTTGTTTTGTTTTGTTTTTTTTAAGCGAAATTCCCCACTTTTAAACAGGAGTATTCATTATCTTTCCATAGTCTCAGAAGTTAAGCCAATCTCCTTGTCAGTGCAGGATTGTTCTCTGCATATACCCTAAAGTGTTCTGTCTGGTCTATTTATAAACGTCATGAGAAAGGAGGTTTCCTCTATTTCCTGTTACAATTCCATATTCTGCTATACCTCCGTCTGAAAGATTTTCCTGATAACCAACCTAAATTTTCCCCTTCAATTTCATTCTTTTACTCCTTGTATGATACTTCCTCTGCCCTTTTTCTTTAGCCTACAAATATCTGAAGGTATATCATCTACCCTCCCCTTAATCTTTTCTTAGTCAAGAAATATATGTGTATTCAGTCCTTTTAATATTTATTGATAAATCATTCTTCCCACCTGAAAAGACAATTTTGTAGTGAAAGACATTTGCTGTGAGCAAATAAATTAGTGTCCTTAAGAGACAATCAAAGCTGCTCTTCATTTTGTACTGTGGCTTAAAAAAAAAAAATCTATCCACTCTGCTACTTGTTTTTGTTTATATAGGTTAATTCTCTTTTAGCTATCTTAAATGTGGGTTCACACATCAGTTTTAACAAGGTTTTACCCAGTTTGACAATATTCTTATATTATTCCCGTAGGCTGATGTTCGGCCTCAAACGGATGGTTGCAATGGTCTGAGGTATAACTTAACTTCAGATATTATTGAATCCATATTCAGGACGTATCCTGCAGGTAGGCAGAAAAATCAATACATATGTGATACAAAGCACTTTAAGTTGATTTTATTATGTTTGATCATTAGAAGACTAGAGGGTTAGTCCTACACTTGTTTCTGTTGGTAAAATGTGCAGGGCTTCTAAACATTCCCTCATACTCTCTTCTGCACTTCCTATATGGTCTTACTTCCTTACTTCAGTGTTGGTTTTTTTTGTAGGGTCTGGAAATATTTTAAGTAGGGCTGTTGATTAATCACAGTTAACTCATGCGATTAACTCAAATTAATCGCGATGAAAAATAATCACAGTTAATCGCAGTTTAATCGCACTGTTAAACAATAGAATACCAATTGAAATTTATTAAATATTTTTGGATTTTTTCTACATTTTCAAATATATTGATTTCAATTACAACACAGTATACAAAGTAGATAGTACTCACTTTGTTTTTATTACAAATATTTGCGCTGTAAAAATGGCAAACAATAGTATTTTTCAATTCACTTCATACAAGTACTGTTGTGCAATCTCTTTATCGTGAAAGCGCCACTTACAAAATTAGATTGTTTTGTTACATAACTGCACTCAAAAACAAAATGTAAAACTGTAGAGCCTACAAGTCCACTCAGTCCTACTTCTTGTTCAGCCAATCACTACAACAAATAAGTTTGTTTACATTTACGGGAGGAGAATTGTACGTCTCCTTGGGGGAGAATTGTACGTCTCCTGTTCTGTTTTACTCGCATTCTGCCATATATTTCATGTTATAGCAATCTCAGATAATGACCCAGCTCAAGTTGTTCGTTTTAAGAACACTTTCACTGCAGATTTAACAAAACTCAAAGAAGGTACCAATGTGAGACTTCTAAAGATGGCTACAGCACTTGACCCAAGGGTTAAGAATCGGAAGTGCCTTCCAAAATCTGAGACGGACAAGGTGTGGAGCATGCTTTCAGAAGTCTTAAAAGAGCAACACTTCGATGCGAAAATTACAGAACCCAAACCACCAAAAAAGAAAATCAACCTTCTGCTGGTGGCATTTGACTCAGATGTTGAAAATGAACATGCATTGGTCCTCACTGCTTTGGATGGTTATCGAGCAGAACCCGTTATCAGCATGGACGCATGTCCTCTGGAATAGTGGTTGAAGCATGAAGAGACATATGAATCTTTCGTGCATCTGACACAAATATCTTGCAATGCCGGCTACAACAGTACCATATGAACACCTGTTCTCACTTTCAGGTGATATTGTAAACAAGAAGCGGGTAGCATTATCTCCTGCAAATGTAAATAAACTTGTTTGTCTGAGCGATCGGCTGAACAAGAAATAGAACTGAGTGGACTTGTAGGCTCTAAAATTTTACATTGTTTTATTTTTGAATGCAGTTATTTTTTTGTACATAAATCTACATTTGTACGTTCAACATCCATGATAGACATTGCATTACAGTACTTGTATTAGGTGAATTGAAAAATACAATTACTTTTTTTTTTGCAGTGCAAATATTTGTAATAAAAAATATAAAGTGAGCACTGTACACTTTGTATTCTGTGTTGTAATTGAAATCAATATATTTGAAAATATAGAAAATATCCAAAACGATTTAAACAGTCTTCTATTGTTTGAGTGCGATTAATCATGCAATTAATTTTTTTAATCATGCAATTAATCGCGATTAACTTTTTTAATCGTTTGACAGCCCTAATTTTAAGGCTTGAGGTTGAAAAGAGACTATTGAATTATTCAGTTTGCTTTGCCTTTAAGCCATGAGTTAATGTTCATGCCCAAGTGTCACTCTCCATTTGAAGGATTTATTTTAACTACTCTAAAATTTTCTAATGAGAGATTGTTGGTAAATTCTGATTTACAAATGCTAGATTGGACCCTGATACTGACATTAGTTTGATCAGTCCTGGATGAAAAAGAACCAGTCCATCTAGGGAACAATATGGAAGGATTCCTCTTAAATTACTAGACTTCTGACATTTAAAATTTTCCAGAGGTGCCCAGCTATACCATTTTCAAAGTTTATATGCTATTGGTGTTTGTTTCCAATACGTTATAAGCATTGCTGGGCATGACAGAACTTCCATTTGTTGCATAAATTGCCATCTCTTTTTAATACTAAAAAGATATGCAACTTATCCAAACTCCATGTGTTTACGCTTATTCAGCATAAGCTTAGGTCATTTTCCATCACACGCTGACAGGTAAAATGGTATCTTGAATTGCAAAATAGCTTATAAGCACTTTGGTTTGTTTGCAGTAAAAGTGAAATATGCAGAAAATGTTCCACATAATATGACAGAAAAAGAATTCTGGACACGATTTTTCCAGTCTCACTACTTCCATCGAGATAGGCTAAATACAGGCTCAAAAGACCTCTTTGCTGAATGTGCCAAAATGGATGAAAAAGGTAAGCTTTTCTTTCTCTGCAACAGGTGACTGTGGTGTTAGCTTTATTTTTTAATTAATTTTGAAGTTTCAGTATACTGTGGCTAAGTTTTTGAAAGCCACATTATTCAGATAAAACCAGCATTCTCATTTTTTAAAATAATATATTTGTCCTGTTATTTGATAAATGCTGCAAGATGTCAGGAGCCAAGACCTATGATGTAATCTTTGGACAGTGTTGATCAGGCTGAATGTTTATATATTTACAGTATCTGACTATGGAAGACATTTCAGGTGCCATACTAAAATGCTTAGAAACAAATTAGTGCTTAAAAGATGCCAGCACTAGAAACTCCTTTTTTGCACAACTCATGCAGCATGAATAATGTCAGTGAAAGCTTCCTCAGAATGTACTACCAAGGGGCCTTAACCGTACCTCTGATAGTAGGGGCATAGTTTTGTTCACGTGACTATTTATTCTGTGATGTCTCTGCTGAGACTCGCAACAGATGTGGGTTTTGTGATAAATCAGATCTCTAGAAAGTGGATAAAGATTGGTTTCTTTTATTGACCATCACTGTTCTGGGCCAAATTTGAAACAATGACCTAGAGATGAAAGACTTCAAAGTTATATTCTGAAAATGTCATCTTCTCTTGATGCACGTGTATAATCCATGAATGATACACACATATATGGAGAGAAGACTAGATCCTGAATATTGAATGCTTTTCATTCTGATAGTGTCCTTTATCTGACAATCCCAAAGCAAAAACAAACAAAAGCCATACATCATCAGATGGGTGAAGTGATGCATAGAAAGGTTAACTGTTTTACCCAAGATCACACAGCAAGACAGTGGCAGAACTAGAAATAGAGCATAGGAGTTATGGCTTCCAGTTCCCTGTTCTAACCACTAGTTAATATTACACTATCTACTTAAAAATTAAATATAATAGCCTATATTGAAGGCAGTACCATTGATGAATTACTAGAAAATGTTCAGAATTGGGGGTGGGGGGAGTGTGAGGAAGTATCTGGAACTAGTTAGAATAATTCCTGCAATAATTTTCAAAAATACAGAGCAAAAGACTGACTTTAATGATAGATGCTGTAAAGGGCTGAAAGTTACTGCACATAATAGCACTTGGACACATGCAAAACCTTCTGACACTACCCTTTTTCCCAACCATGGAACATATTCAGAGGATTTAAAAAAAAAATCATTGTACTTTTTAGAAATACCTGTGTTCTAAAATAGATACAGCCTTGGTTTTTTGATACCTGTAAGTGTTAAGTTCACTGGTTCCTGCAAACCCATATAATCCAAAATGTACCAGATATCTTACATGTTGGTTGTTTAAACTACAAATTCAAGTTTAGCAACAACTAGTGCTGTTTTAGAAATAAATTTCCTGCACGAATATTGGTGTCTAATAGTAATTTAGTACTATATGTTGTTTAAGAAAATTATGGAATCATATTAAGGTACTGAAGTCCAGATAACTTTGAGGCTTACACTTTATCAACCCTGAGTGTCGACAGATATTCTCGTTTAGATACTACTTTGCAAGAAAACTTTTTTTTTTTTTCCCCTCATAGGGTTAAAAACAATGGTGTCTCAAGGGGTGAAAAATCCACTGCTAGATTTAACGGCCTTGGAGGATAAATCCTTAGATGAGGCAAGTACAGAGACTGTAAAACAAAAATGTAAGAGTTTCTACATTTTAAAACTGGATCACCTTATTAGCTTGAAAAAGGACCACAAACAATACTAAAATACAACTTTCCACTGAACAACTTCTGGTGCTCCAATGCTAATTTGTCACTGAATTTCTCCTCTTTGTGTTGATGTTCTGGGTCTGATTTCTAATCACATCAGTTCTACACCAGTGTTCCTGCATAGAGTTACTTCTGATATACATTGGGGTAGGTGGATGGAGAATCAGAACTTATATTCTCAGTCTATGTGCTATGAATTTTTTTTTTTTTTTTTTTTCCCCCCCATGGCGCTGCATTACCTCACCTGGCTTCCTAAGCATACTGGTATAAAATCTGACTTTGCTTCTAGAAGCATTCTTATACAGCTTTTTCATTTTAAAATAAACCTCCCCTTATTTAATCCTTACCATTTAGAGGCTACCTGGCATTGGTAAATAGGAATCCTACAATACAGAAGATTGAGTTCAAAGTGAAGATAAATATAAAAGTTACCACATTTTTGGTCGAACTTATTTACTTAAAATGAAGTTAAAACAACATTTCTTCATATCAATTTAAAATATTAAATACCAAATAGTTTGCACCACACACAGCATCAGACATGTTTGATAGCTCCAAAGATACCATTGACTTAATGGTTAGAAAAGAAGAATTAGTAGCTAAAATCAGAGTGCAAATTAGTACAACTTTATATTGTTTTACAGGGATATAAGTTGTATCTCTGAGCACTTAATAAAATTTAAAACAAGATGACAGATTTGGTGAATGACATTCCTATTCATTTGTTTACTACTGAAAACTTAATAGTCCTTGGCCTGCTGGATTTCTATAAACTTCTATAAGAATTTGGTAATTGCAGCTAACAGTTTGAAAATAAAGAATTAGCATTTATACAGAGGTTTACATGTTCAAAGTGCAAAACCAACATTAATCCTCTCAACATCCCTCTGAGGTTGGGAAGTACTATGCCCAGTGTACAAATGGGGAAACTAAGGCGGAGAAGTGAAGAAGTCACACTGCACGTAAGCAATAGAGCCAGCATTAGGACCCTGAGGACTCCCAATACTATGTATATTCCTCTAGACCACACTGCAATGCTGTTCATTCAGTAAAGCCCAGAAAATGGGAAATGCAGAATCACTGCTACGTATCTGATCTAATGGAAAATAGGGAATGGTCTCACTTTTTAGACTCATAGACTTGAAGGACAGAAGGGACCAACATGAACATCTAGTTTGACCTCCTGCACATTGCAGACCACAGAACCTCACCCACCCACTCCTGTAATAGACCCCTAACCTCTGGTTGAGTTACTGAAGACCTCAAATCGTGGCTTAAAGCCTTCAAGTTACAGAGAATCCACCATTTACATTAGTTTAAACCTGCAAGTGACCCGTGCCTCATGCTGCATTTAGTTTGGAATAACCTAACAAACTGTTAATTACTTTACTTGCAGGGTTATGGTGTTTCCTCTGTGCCATCCACATCAAACTCCTCAAAGTCCTTAAAGGAGAGTAGCAATGCTGCCATTATAAAACGCTTTAATCATCACAGTGCCATGGTCCTTGCAGCTGGGCTCAGAAAACAGTAAGTTTCAGCACAGGAAAAAGCTCTCAGAACTGGCGAATAACTCAAACTTGAAAACTTTACAAGTGTTATCTTGAAGCCTGTGGATATTATGATCTAAACACAAATCTGATCATGTGGATTCCATTTTTACTTTTAAAATTCCTTTCAATGTATAAGGCCATGCCAGCCACCAAAATTAAAGCCGTGTTATTTTTGCACGAGGTGATGTAAAATATTGCAGGCTGGAAATACCTTCCTATATTCCTCTTCTGTACTGTATCTCTGGATTTTTTTTCATGTTTTATTAAAAAAAAAAAAAAGTGCCTTGACTGATTCACCTTAGAGAATATTTGACAACCTCATCCAAACTATAGCCTAAATTAAGGCCTAGAAGGCCATGAATGCAGTGAAATTGGTCCAGTTTTTGCCATGCAGAGGGATAGATTGGTTGGATGCAAGGACCTCACATGCAGTTCATACCACCTGCACATTGAGCATAGCTCTGTAGGGGCTTCTTATACTGCAGTGTTCAGGAGGAGGGGACAGAAGAGCCAGGGCAACTGGGTCTACTAATGCAGATCCACGAGCCAAACCTTAGAGAGGCGAGGTGGCTGTTACAAGTCTGTTGCAGTAGTAGCTGCTGTGCAGGCCAGGAAGGATTCCTTCTCCAACTGAGTCCTGCAAAACTCACCCAACTATAGTCCACTTATCCAATCTGTTCTTTAGGAGGAACGTTTTTTCCCCTTAGTGCTTCTATATTTGCTCATATGATGTATTTGTGTTTTCATTTAAATAGACCACTGTACCTTAATAAGCCTTTCTGGTAGGAAACATTCCATCCCCCAAAACTTAAATTGCTCCTTTCTACAAAATGCACAAACTGGATGTTAAAGCACCTTTACTTTCCCGTCCTTCTGTGTGGGAGTACTTCCTCTTGGATGTGCACAGCAGCGGTCATGATCAAAGTGCCAGTTAGAGGGAGAATAGCAACTCTCATACTGTGAATGTAGAATGCCCAGCACTCCCACACTCCAGACAAGTTTGTGTGGAGGTGGCAGTGCAGTGTTGGGCAAGACTTCTTCAGTGTGATACTACAGACGATGATGGAGGCAGTGGATGCAAAGCTTAGAGAAGAACAGGATTGAGGCCCAAGAGAGCCTATGTAGAGCAGATATTCGTACTAAGTACCCTCATAGAAGAATGTATAAAATGGCAAGCTGCCCTCCTTACCTATTTCATTGATTTTCAAAAGGCATTTGACAACCTGCACAGACATACATCGTGAATATTCTTCAGTCCTACTGCATCCCAGCTAAAGTTGTCAATATCATCAAGGCCATGTACAGAGATAGGAAGTGTTCTAAGGGGGAACAACCAGACAAGAGTGGTTTAACGTGGAGAGTGGCACGAAATGAGGGTTGCATTTTATCACTGCTGCTCTTTGGCATTGTCATAGACTGGATAACAAAGTAGTGTATTAGCAATACAAAATAGCATGGATAGATGGCAAATGCCTAGAAAGCCTAGATTTTGCTGCTGCTAATATTGCTGTACTGAACAACACCCCTGAAAAGTTACAAACAAAGACAACCTGGCAAATACAGCATGCCAAGCAGCACTCAAAACAGACATCTGCTAAAACAAACATACTGGAAACCCAGACATCAAACAGTAACATCACATTTTGAAGGCAAAAACATCAAGAAAGTAGAATAGTTCACCTACCTGGGCAGCACCATAATGGCCAACAGAGACCTCAAGAAGGAAGTGACATCAAGGATAGGAAAGGCATTCAGAGCATTTATTAAACTTAATGTATGGAAATCTAAGATACCCAGAACAAAACTGAGAATTTTCAATTCAAACATAATCTCAGTGCTAACACATGGCCTCGAGAACTGGAAATCCATCAAAATGTTAGACAGAAAACTAGACGCCTTTGAAAATAAGTGCCTATGACAGATCCTGGGCATTTGGTTGGAAATACTTGTTTACAGGTGACAAGATTTGAGAAATCAGCCACTCATCCCCACCAGAATCAGAAGGAATAGCTGTGCTCTGGAAACTAACATGGAGATGTTAAGTAGAAACCATCTGGTATGAGGAAACAAGGGTGTCCAAGAGAAACCTTAAGAAAAACCCTTAGCAGGAAAGACCGAACAGTAGATCTCAACACCATAGAGCAGAGGGAAGCAGCAGCAAATGACAGAGTAGTTATTACCCTGTGTGCCAACATTGGCACGGGAATGATGTGATGTAACTGCATTAACAGTAGCACACAACGTGTGTGACTTAAGTTTTAGTTGGCAAGAGGACTGCTTCACTGCACTATGGTCCTGTTACCTCCCTGTCTATGTCAGGAGTACACTATTTTTTTCTTTGTGCAGAGATGAGGAATCCTATCCCCATTGCCTGTCATGAACAAAATACTAACCCTTTTTAGAGTGACACCCATAGGTCAGTCATTTAAGTGCAGACCTTTTTGAAAGAAATAAATTTGGAATTAAACATATTTTGAAACAGATTAACCTACTACATGTCCTCAGTCTAAATGTCAGTCTCCCACGAGATGCCTTATTGTTCACTTCCTTTTAATACTGTCTTTTATTTTAAGAGAAGCACACAATGATCACTACAGTGAGACCAGCAGTATGGATGGAAACTCCAGGGATTCAGATTTCTTTCAGCCACCAATAAAAAAGGTATGAAAAATGTGAGTTTGCCACTGCAATTCCAGTTGAAGTATAGTACTGCAAACAGCTGCATTAAGCATCATCTACTTAAATGGATGAAGAGTGATATGACTATAAAGTATTAATTAAATACAACAGCCTTAAGATGAACATGCTGTTGACAAAGAGCTCTTTAGTTATTTAAATGCAAATAACTTTAATTGATAATACAATCTTCCTGTTTTTTTTTTTTTTCTTTCACTGAGTGAACATTGACATTTTTCCCCAGACCTTTCTAATGGATCTTAAAATACATGTTCTGTTCATTGTGTGTGGTTATATTTATGTATTACCACTGTAAGTGCCTGAGCACCTTTAGGAGAATATCCAGGCAAAGAATTAAGATAATAGTAGTTGCAACCACGGCATGGAATTAATATATTGAATACATTGGGGAAGGAATGCACACTTACTACTTATTAGTAAGCAGAATGCTAATTTGATACTTCAACTTAAAGGGTTGACCTTGCATCAGAATCATCGTGCTCAACTGAAAATGAGTGTCAGATTTGATTGATTATTGGTGCACAAAAATGAGGCAACTATAGTGTTTCTCTTAGATTACTGGAATTATGTAAAAATTGCTAAGAAAATAAAATGTTTTGAATGACTGTGTAGTGCAATCCAAAAAGCTAAGGGGGGGAAACTCCACTAACTTAACCTTTGCAAATACACTTCCCCTAGCCCCCAAAAATTACTTGAAATCCACACAAATAGCAAATAGTTTTTAGAAAATACCCATTGTAGCTTTTGGGGCAGTCACTAGCTCTGACTTCACTGTATGGTGCAGCTTTCAGTGAGAATGAATAACAGAACAGGACTAAAGGAAAATCTCTCTACACTTAATGGATGAAGAAAGCAAGAGATCTCCAAAGCAGTTTTCATTGTATCATATTTAAGTATACTACTGTTAATGCTCCTTAATATTTTCTACCACAAATGAACACCTTATTTAGCTACATATCTGCACTAGCTCTAGGTTTAAATTCCTGCACTAAAAACATTAACCCTGTTCCTTCCTCTTGTATTAAGTAACACATGCACATAAACATGGACTACAAAAGGGTTGTTCATGTATGTGTGCACTTTTTTTTTTTTAAATGAGGTGGCTCTTATTAAAAAAAAAAAAAAAAATCCTGGTCAGGATCTGCAGAAAAAGTAGTAAAGGCCACTAGTACTAAAACAAGTGTGTGAACATGTTTTTTAAAAAAGGGAGGGTGGCGTGGAGCTCGGCACGTGGGATTTCAGTAGAGTATTTACCTAAATATGGCTTCAGTCATGTTTTTCCTGTTCATATATTCGTAGAGCAAGTGAGTTTTACTGTGACTTCCTTCAAAACTGGCAGACACTAGGTTCTTTGACAAGTTTCTGCTTTTATTAAAATTTCTCAAATGCCATTTAAAAAATTATTTGTATAACAAGACAGTGATTTGGGAATTCTTAAACATTTGGTTTTTCTTGGCTTCTGTGCTTTAATTTATAAATATTAGAAATTTTACAATAGGATTTGTTACCATGGAACTTCCAGTGCATTTAGACACTCAGCCCAATTCTGACATCCTCACACAAGCATTGACTCCAATTATAATTGTCTTACATTTTCAGAACTGACCAGTGTTATTGGGTGTCTTAAGTTTTGGGTGCCCAGTTTCAGACCCTTAACGGGACCTGACTTTCAGAAAGTGCTGAGTACTTGCCCTCTGAAGACCTGGATCCTTTAAGATGTCAGGTTGGATACCCAAGAATGCTAGTCACTTGTAAAATTAGGCCTGTCTGTTTGTGTAAATGTCTTCAGGATTTGGCTGAATATATTGGCTGAGATCATAGCACAGCGTTTGGCCACTTTGTGCTGCGCTACTGAGGGAATCTTAATCACAGGGCCAACAGCCTGCCATGGAAGGAAGACCTGTGTATATGGCGATAATCCTCTTGTGGCATACAGAAAATACCGCAGCTCCCTCTATGCTATGGCAAATAGTATAGGGATCTTGTGGCCTTCACAGCCAGTGTCACTGAAAACTGTGCTAGGCAGCCAAAGCCACCTCTCCTCCCAACCTACGCTGGTGATGCACTGCCAGAGCAGAAGATCTGAACCACTTGGGCTTTTTTTCATTTATCTTGGTTTTTTTCCATTCTCTTCCCAGGAAACAATGGACAAGGAAAAAAGCAGAGTCTATGTATGTGCAACTATATCATAAGTAATTAGTTTTGATTTGTGTCTCATATCGCAGGTAAAGCTACAGGAGGCTATTGAATATGAAGATTTAGGAAAGAATAATAGCATTAAAACTATTGCACTAAACCTAAAGAAATCTGATCGGTAAGTTCAATGAATAAAAGAAAACTGCAGTTCTTTGGATGTTTCAACATATTAAAACTAATAAATCTCTTTATGATCTATTCAGAATCAATCTGTCCCTAATCTGCTTTGTATTTTACATGGCATTTGAGTGCTTCTAGATTAAAATTTAATTAATCTGAAACCTTGTTTAAACAAATTTAAGTTGTTACCATTTTCAAAACTGTATCTTTAGTTCATAATAACTTTTGTGAATTTAGTAAACCTATTACAAACTATTGCTAGAAGAGATCCATAATTTTAGTCTGAGTATGCAAGTCTAACAAATTTACCTTATTAATGTAGTTTGAGACATCTTATCAGCATTTCTGTTGGTATGATGCATTTGGAAATATTTGCACACTCTGCACAGACGCAGATCTTACTTGGGTGTTGACTTGGGTCAATTCTTAATGGTTTGATTCACTTCTTTTGTGATGTGCTTCCCTTTTGTGTTCCAGAACCTAACCTTTCAGTTTGAAAAACGTTATATCTCTTGTCCTGACAGTTGCAAAGATATCCTTCCAAATGTGAACCAATGGTGTAGTGGTGTTTGTCAAATACTAGTCCTAAGAGGTGGGACTTGCCCCATTCATCTGGAGTCTGACAGTCTAAGTGACAGTACTGCCAGTGCTGAACAAAGCATAAAAGGGGTGATGACATTAAGGCCAGGTCTATGCTACAGACCTGTGTCAGTATAACTACATCACTCAGGTGTGAAAAATCCACTCCCCTGAGTGATATAGTCATACCAAACCTTAACACCCCCACCCCCCATGTAGACAGCGCTTTGTCAACGGGAGAGCTTCTCCTGTCAACATACACCTCTACCCCGATATAACGTGAATTCGGATATAATGCGGTAAAGCAGCACTCCGGGGGGCGGGGCTGCTTTACTTCGTTATATCGGAATTCGTGTTACCACAAGCGGTCCTCTGCGCTCCCCCTTTACTTGCTGCAGCCCCCCCCCCCCCCGCCCCCCTCCGCTCTGCCTCCGCCTCCTCCCACGAGTGTGCCGCAGCTCCGCTTCTCCCTCCCTCCCTCCCAGGCTTGCAGCGCCAATGCTGTTTGGCGTGGCAAGCCTGGAAGGGAGGGATGGGGGGAGAAGCGGTGTGGTGGCGGCGCGCTCAGAGGAGGAGGCGGAGGCAGAGCGGAGGTGAGCTGGGGCAAGGAGCGGTTCCTCTCTCTACCCAGATATAACGCGGTCTCACCTATAACATGGTAAGATTTTTGGCTCCCAAAGACCGCATTATATCGGGGTAGAGGTGTAGCTACTGCCTCTCACAGAGGTGGATTAACTATGCTGACAGGAGAGCTCTGCAGCTGTGCCGATGCAGCATAGACCTGCCCTATGATCTGCATAACAAAAAATCAAGAATGGCCTGTCCCTTCTCATTTTGCTGTCACATATGGGAAAAACTTAGGTTGCAGGTGGAATTTGAAAGCTTACAGTTACGTTATTTTTTTTTTTTTTACATTTCCAATCAGACCCCTGATTTATTTAATTTTTAATAGAGGCCAAAAGCCAAATTCGTACTGTACCTAAAATCTGAGAGGTGCAACTGCTACATTACATAAATCTTAGTCTACTGGGAATTAAGTTACCTTGTGGTGTTTTTTTTGGTTTTTTTCCCCTTTCTCTTCCCACAGGTATTATCATGGTCCAACTCCAATTCAATCACAGCAATATGCAACTAGTCAGGATATTATTAATTCTTTTCATAGTATTAGAGAAGAAATGGAAGCCTATGTACCCAGACTAACTCAGGTAGGAAAATTCATTTTAATTTAAATACAGAAAAGTAAAACTCCCTCCTTAATACTAGTCCAGATATTTCTTGACTTACTAGAATTATGGTACTTGCACAGTTTTGTCCCTCAAGGTGAACCTGATACATTATGCAATTTAATAGGAAAAGTGGGAAACTGTTTTAGAAGAAGTCTTCAGTCAGAACAACACTTAATTAAGTTGCAGAGCAGTGTTTTAGCCATACCACTTCAGCTCTTCTCTGAAGTTGTAATATTAAGACAAGTAACTATCAGATTTGCTGGTACTGATGGACAAATCCTACAGCCCTCTCATACCTGTGAGGAAGCTCCAAACGTAGTGGAATCAGTATTGCTGTGCTGTACTGCACAGGGTAGAACAAAGCCACACACTGGGACTTAGCTCCACAAGGTGAAGGTGAAGCTATTTCTGGTGGCCCTTACCTCAGGCACAAGGAGGGGAGGAGTCAATGGCAATACAAGGTCACAGCCAGTGGGTTTGTGACTAAGTGAATCAGTAGGACACAGGTCCTACTACATCTCTGAGGTTATCACATGGCTGCCTGTGTGCTGTGCCCTCAGGTTGGCTGGGGCAGCTGGTTCTCGTAACCTCCCTTGCATTCAGAAAATTTACATTTGGCCCTTATTAAATTACCACAATTGTTTGTGCCTCACCATTCTAGTAAAGTCATGAGGACCAGTGAAAATTTTCTTTTAATTGTTATATTGCCTTATTAAAAGTTTGGATGTAAGTAAAGATCACTCAATACATGCACCAGTTCGGCAATATCATGTGCATGTTAAGAACCCACACTATAGACATCAATTTGAGAGCAATACTGGTGGACAGGTGCTGTCTGTTCCCATCATGGTTTCTGGAACTTCCAAAAGGCAACATGAGTTAATGCTTAGTAGAACTACATGTCCAATTCCCTCTCACATCAATGGGGAGATTACTTTTATACTTCCAAAATTATTTCAATCTAAGATCACTAACTAACGTCCTGATTGATATGTCTGAGCCAGTGCAATTCACACTTTTCTTTAAGACTTCATTTGTCCAAAATGTTTTAAAGCGAGTCACTGGGGAAAATGATATGAAAGGACTATGGTTTTTTTAAGGTTCTTTCCAGTGGTGCTGCTACTAGCAGCATCACAGCCCTGTCACCTGGAGGAGCACTTATGCAAGGTGGGACACAGCAAGCCATAAACCGTAAGTTTTTACGTAGTATGTTATCGTTCAGCCGTATAGACTATACCAACAACACGGTGGGGTGCCCTGGCTTTTTTATTTTTGGCTACAACAGATTATGCTGACAAAGCAAATGCAGAGACATTCATCTAAAATACAGTTGCAAAGTATAAAAGTTATCAGGTGGAAGTGACAAAGGAAAAATTCTGAAAGAAACTAGCAATCCAGTCCACCCAATAAGGAGGCAGTGGTGGCTCTGGTGCTGAGGTAAATGCAATTAAGATAGCTAGGAGCAAATAAAGTCAGACTGACTCACAGAATATTAAGTTATTTAAAGGTAAGACCATTTTACTCCTCCACTAAAGGCCCTGTCTAGCTGCTTCCAACCTGTTGCCACCATTTTGAGCAGATAGGGTGAGGCCCAAGTGGCCATTCTGTTCAGTTGAGGACAGCCAGTAAGGCCTTAGCTACACTGCCACTTTACAGTGCTGCAACTTTCTCGCTCAGGGGTGTGAAAAAACAGCCCCCTGAGCGCTGCAAGTTTCAGCGCTGTAAAGTGGCAGTGCAGACAGTGCACCAGCGCTGGAAGCCGCACTCCCAGTGCTGGTAGCTACTCCCCTTGTGGGGGTGGGGTTTTTTTACAGCGCTGGGAGAGCTCTTGCCCAGCACTGGTTCCGCGACTACACAGCCATGTTGCTAGTGAAGACATACCCTAAGCCTACTTTCTCCTCCAATCTCTCTGCTCACACTTAGGTGCTTTCATCTCTATACCTGCTTTGTGTATTCTCCTCCCGCTTCTCTCTCCCCCTTCTGGCTTTCTGCTGTGGTAGCAGTGAGGAACCACAGGAGAGAAGAGGTAGCAGCAGCAGTCCAGCTGCCAGATGTAAACAAATGAAAGTTCTGAAGCCTTGAGTTAAGGGCTAAAACTCAACACTCCCTGGCCTTGGAGTGTAAAAGCGGAGGGGTAGCTTCTTGGCTCTTATGTTTTCTCTGCCATTTACAAAATAAAACTTCATTTATTCTAGGGGAACAAGCTGTAGATTTGATTTGGAAACAGACAGATTTGGTTACAAAATCTATGAAATAATTGTATGCAGTGTAGTTGTAGCTGTGTCAGTCCCAAAGTATTAGAAAGATAAGGTGGGTGAAGTGATATCTTTTATTGGACCAACTGCTGTTGGTGAGAGAGATGAGCTTTCGAGCTACACACAGCTCTTCTTCAGGTCTGGGAAAGTTACTCCGAGTGTCACAGCTAAATGGACTTAGCTGTGATGCTCAGAGTACCTTTTGAAGAGCTTGGTGTGGCTCAAAAGCTTGTCTCTCACCAAAAGAAGTTGGTGCAATGAAAGTTATTACACCATCCACCTTGTCTCTATGAAATAACTGCTCGGTGTTAATATTCCCTATGGATTACAGAGGCATAACTGTTCTACGCAGGCCCTATGTGTCCAATTGAGTTCTTCCCTCTTTCAACCGATCCTGCTTATACTTCCTTCAGCCCCTGTCTCTTCAGCCTTGCAGAGACTAAGCTGTGTCCCTGTAAGGCTCAGTTTGCACTCTTCACTTCCCTAGTAACTGACAGGAAGCATCACAGAAACAAGGGCAGAAGTAGTCACAGTCAGGTAACCACAAGAGAGAGTGTAGAGTGCACTTCAGAATGGATGAAAAGGGGGCAATAAAGGGTGGGAAAGGACGAGGTTATCCCACCCATGCTGTCGGGTTTGGGTTTGTTTGCTGTCTTTTCTTCCAACCCCTTAATTTTGTATTCTACCCCACTTCTGCAACCCCAACTCCACTCTTAAAAAATAATACCTTACTCACCAGGCCACCAGTTCCTCTACCCTCAAGAATGCAGAAAGGGTGGAAGTGAATACAAATTAAGCAGGCATAGGAAGTTGCTATGTAGGATGGATCCGCCCAAAATGCAAGGTGTGTAAGACCTTGGGGGTACTATAGAGAGCTAAAGTGCACAATTCTGGTGATGGGGTAATGCATAGGTCAAAGCTTACAAGTGCCTGCAAATAGCATTGGGGAATATGTTTCATAATGAAGCCAGGCTCAGTTGCAAGCTCTTTAATGAAATAAAGCTCATACAGCGGCATTGTTTGCAGGCTCTGTTTGGAGTTCTGCTGACACCTTCAAGTCAAGGTCAAGTTGTTGATAGTTACTGTGAGTTTGCATTACTTGATCACAGCTGTTACTTTTTGTGGCTCTGCTGCATGGAACCTCTTTGCAGTACACTTTGGCATGGGGAAGGACCGTGTGACTGCTCTGGAGAGCTGCAATTAGGTATTTAATTGAACCAGACTGAAGAAAGCACTGCCTGCCTGTGAGAAGCCAGGAGAGAGCAGCGTGTGTGCGAACAAGCAGAGGGTGAGATGAACTCTGGCCAGGAACAGTCTTAAAGCCTGGCTTCAGTGCTCAGGAGTAGCTCAGACACAGTTACCCTGAAGTAAAAGACTCAGCTTTTTTAGCAGTGAAGACAGAGTCCTTAGAGACTTGGGCTCAACAATACCCAGCCCTAGGTAGTTGTGGAAGGGGTCAAAGATCCTTCCTCTCACAGCCCTGCATGGGAGTCTGAGGCCTTGCATTTTGGGAGCACAAGGACTCCATGCAGTTAGTACTCACACTGCAATGGCACTAACCTCCCAAAGGGAGCAGGCCCAGCCATCCTCATGCAGGAGCAAGGGCACCATGCACCTTTGAGTGTGGCACGGCAGCCACATACCCTGAGTCAGGCACAGTGTCTCCCAGCATTCCTGGGACTGTGCTCTACAGCTTCCCACCCTCCCCAAAGAGCCACTGCAGAGCGCATTGAGAGAAATTTGGGGCCCTGGTATATCATGTTTGTTGGGGACCCACCCTTCTCCATTTTATCCCCCATACAGACTTTTGGGGGCTCCTTGTACTGCTGCTTCCTCTTTGACTGTTTTACATTTCTGCTTTTTAACTTCTCTTCCTGTGCATCTCAGGGCACGTCTTCACTACCCGCCGGATCGGCGGGTAGCAATAAATCTATCGGGGATGGATTTATCACTTCTAGTATAGACGCGATAAAATCGATCCCCGATCGCTCTGCCGTCGACTCCGGAACTCCACCGCAGCGAGAGGCGGAAGCGGAGTCGACGGGGGAGCGGCAGCGGTCAACTCACTGCCGTTCTTACAGCCAGGTAAGTCGACCTAAAATACGCAACTTCAGCTACGCTATTCGTGTAGCTGAAGTTGCATATCTTAGGTCGACACCTCCCCCTCCCCCCCATAGTGTAGACCTAGCCTCAGTCTCTAATTCTTTTCCCTTGCTTCTTTCACTCCTATGGCTTCTTTGTTCTCTTTCCTTCCTGGTATTTTTCTTCTCTGTACAAGGTCTCTCTACCTCCTCTGCCACCATGATCTCGCCCCTACCCCTACCCTTGTATGTCATGAGGAGGGACGGACCCTGATCCAGTGCTGTTATGTGAGTCAGTAAGATCCAAACTAATTTGTGCTGCTTCTGCTCCACAACGAGTGGATTGTGATAGGGTTGCACGCTTCAGGTTGGGGAAGTGCTCAGGGGGCTTTCACCCTCAGTCCCCATTGGAAGAAGATGGAGGATGTAGCAGCAGGTTAAGGTCCAGTGTTCCTAACCACGGTGGGTGGTTTTTTGGGTCCTGTTAGCTCCAGGGGAATAAGTTTAATAAACGCTCTGTTCTTAACTTTTTAAATGATCATCTGTTTTAAGAGACTGATAAATAGACTACAGAGAAATAGTGTAATTGACTCGCTGCTTGTGGACTGGCACAATACAGTTGTTCGAGTCCTAGACTGCTCCTGTTACAGGTATCAAACAGCTTTCGCTATGTATTAGCCAGCTCTTATTTTACTTACATATTACATAATTTAAGTAACATGCCTTTTAGAAAATTTCTTTTCCTGTTGCAGAGATGGTGCCAAATGATGTTCAGTCTGAACTGAAACACTTGTATGTGGCACTTGGGGAGCTACTACGACACTTCTGGTCCTGCTTTCCTGTTAATACACCATTCCTAGAAGAAAAGGTAAGAGGGATTGAGGATATAAACTTGCTAGTATAAATGTCAGTGTATCTTGTAACCATATGTGTGTTCTGTAATGAGACAATTGAAAGTATTTTTATTCAAGCTGTAGTATCACATTATTAATCATGTGGTGTGTGTATATATAACTCTACATGTTTGTCCTTTCACTCCTTAAATGATTATGGACAGAAAGCCACTATGTAAAAATAGCGTATTTAACTCAGCAGATCTGCTCCCTCTGCGTAATTGGAGTGTGATCTGCCAATGCTATTGCCTAAATCTGTTTTTCGCTGTCCTGTTAACCACAATACAGAAGAAGTGGCTGAATTCTTGTGGCTCAAATTGTCATATTACCTATATTCCAATTGCAGAATCCTGATTACTGGTAATGAGAACCAGAAAGAAAATACAATCAACCTTGGATCTCAAAATCAAGATAACAGTGGTAGGCAGGAAAGAACTTGTCTAAACTGAGCAAGTTTAGTATAGAATCACACACACATCCACAGAATCATTGTGCCATTCTAGTCACCTTGCAGAGCATAATTGCACTTCAAAAAGGTTAGCGCATGGGACGAGGAATCAGAAACAAAGCATAGGATTCTAGCTCTGCCACTGTCTTCCTATTTGACCTTGGACAAGGCATTTAACTACCGTGCCTCATTTTGGATCAGACAAAGAAGGTTACTAGGGGAAATGAAAACTTCTATTCAGATGTCTTGGGCCTTCTACTGCAAAACTTTTAAAAAATCATAGTACGCTGTTGGCTTGAAGCAGAGAGATAAATAATGTTAAATGTAAAGTGTTGCTGACAAAGATACTGTAGAAATTACCACAGTACATTTGTGAAGCATATTATGCTCGGTTAAACCGCTTAAGTTTAAGAACATAAGAACAGCCATACTGGGTCAGATCAAAGGTCAATCCAGCCCAGTATTCTGTCTGCTGACAGTGACCAATGCCAGGTGTCCCAGAGGGAGTGAACCTAACAGGTAATGATCAAGTGATCTCTCTCCTGCCATCCATCTCCACCCTCTGACAAACAGAGGTTAGGGACACCATTCCTTACCAATCCTGGCTAATAGCCATTAATGGACTTAACCACCATGAATTTATCTAGTTCTCTTTTAAACCCTGTTATAGTCCTAGCCTTCACAACCTCCTCAGGCAAGGAGTTCCACAGGTTGACTGTATGCTGTGTGAAGAAGAACTTCCTTTTATTTGTTTTAAACCTGCTGCCCATTAATTTCACTTGGTGGCCCCTAGTTTTTATATTATGGGAACAAGTAAATAACTTTTCCTTATTCACTTTCTCCACACCACTCATGATTTTATATACCTCTATCATATCCCCCCTTAGTCTCCTCTTTTCCAAGCTGAAAAGTCCCAGCCTCTTTAATCTCTCCTCATATGGGACCCATTCCAAACCACTCATCATTTTAGTTGCCCTTCTCTGAACCTTTTCTAATGCCAGTATATCTTTTTTGAGATGAGGAGACCACATCTGTACGCAGTATTCGAGATGTGGGCGTACCATGGGTTTATATAAGGGCAATAAGATATTCTCCATCTTATTCTCCCTCTCTTTTTTAATGATTCCTAACATCCTGTTTGCTTTTTTGACCACCGCTGCACACTGCGTGGACGTCTTCAGAGAATTATCCACGATGACTCCAAGATCTCTTTCCTGATTAGTTGTAGCTAAATTAGCCCCCGTCATATTGTATGTATAGTTGGAGTTATTTTTTCCAATGTGCATTACTTTACATTTATCCACATTTTAAATTTTATTTGCCATTTTGTTGCCCCAGTTTTGTGAGAGCTTTTTGAAGTTCTTCGCAGTCTGCTTTGGTCTTATCTTGAGCAGTTTAGTATCATCTGCAAACTTAGCCACCTCACTGTTTACCCCTTTCTCCACATCATTTATGAAAAAGTTGAATAGGATTGGTCGTAGGACTGACCCTTGGGGAACACCACTAGTTACCCCTCTCCATTCTGAAAATATACCATTTATTCCTACCCTTTGTTCCCTGTCTTTTAACCAGTTCTCAATCCATGAAAGGATCTTCCCTCTTATCCCAGGACAACTTAATTTACGTAAGAGCCTTTGGTGAGGTACCTTGTCAAAGGCTTTCTGGAAATCTAAGTACACTATGTCCACTGGATCCCCCCTGTCCACATGTTTGTTTGACCCCTTCAAAGAACTTTAATAGATTAGTAAGACATGATTTCCCTTTGCAGAAACCAAGTTGACTTTTGCCCAACAATTTATGTTCTTCTATGTGTCTGACAATTTTATTCTTTACTATTGTTTCAACTAATTTGCCTGGTACTGACGTTAGACTTACTGGTCTGTAATTGCCGGGGTCACCTCTAGAGCCCTTTATAAATGTTGGTGTTACATTAGCTATCTTCCAGTCATTGGGTACGGAAGCTGATTTGAAGGACAGGTTACAAACCATAGTTAATAGTTCTGCAATTTCACATTTGAGTTCTTTCAGAACTCTTGGGTGAATGCCATCTTGTCATAGCCATTTAGTGCTTGTTTCCATAAGTTTAAAACAGAGATCATATTTTCAATACAGTAAGTGCTTCCTACCAATTTGTTTTAACTGTGCATATTTACAGTAACCCTAGGTACTAGCTTCCAGGTATTTCAATTTGCTGAAGCAAGAAAATGTTCATATGCAGGAGTTTGTACACTTTTTTCCTATTGATGTCTTTCAGGTTATGAAAATGAAGAGTAACTTGGAAAGATTTCAAGTTACAAAGCTCTGTCCGTTCCAAGAAAAAATTTGGAGACAGTATTTAAGCACAAATGTAAGAGGAAAAAGTATCCTTTCTCATTTCAATTATTTGTGTGCATATTGACCTTGAAAAAAATAACTGACTCATATTTATCACAGGATGGCAGATTTTGGTCTCCTGTATTTGGGGTTTTTAATTTGTTCTGTTAACTATATGTATAATGCTTAATTCTTCTTAAAAGTGTGTTTCTCTCATCTTCCTCCTGCCCGTCCCCCCCCTACCCCCCAAAAAAAACCTATGGCTGATGGAGAAAAGGATGTAGGGGTATTACATTCTGGAATAATTTTCTCCTTTTATCATCATGCAAGTCTGATTTCTCAATGATTGGATGAATGGCCTGTTTAGCTAGTTTCCAGTGACTATTGAAAGTGCTTTTAAGTACAGCACTTGAACATAAGTCGTCCACGTAGTTTCCCTTGAACTAGCTAACTGCATATCCACTGTCTTTACTGATACTCTGCCATACTTGACTAATAAAACTTTGAGACATTTTGTAATTGAAACAATTGTGGCCAATTCTCCTCTCACATCACATGCCTTGATGCAACTCCCTAGGCTTTAGTGGTTACTCCTGATTCCTCCTACTGAGAGAAACGACAATCAATCCCATTTAGGTTTGATCAGAGTAAGGGCACACGTTTCTCAGATACTGGGAACATCCCTTTGTTTTATCTTTCAGTTGATAAATCATATAGAAGAGATGTTGCAGACAGCCTACAATAAGTTCCACACGTGGCAGTCCCGACGTATGCTGAAGAAAACGTGAAGACTCCCGCTATAAAGTTTGGAGAGGGAAATCTGCAATAGCTGTAGGAACACAACCTGGCAAATGTGCAGTTCTTAGATATTGCAGGAACATCTGCAACATGTGGATTCCTGGAAATGTTCCTAACTGAACTTGCACATTTTTTGGAAAAGGACCTGTGATTAAACTTGAAACTAGGGAAAAATTAAGGAAGAACCAAAACGGAAGAGCTGAGAGGCAAAAAAAAAAAAAAACCATATTTAAGATGCTGTTTACTGCAGTTACTCAGGAACTGCTTTTGATTTGCGTAAAGAGCTGCTTTCAGAAATAAACTTTTAAAAAGGTGTATTAATAAAATCTGAAACTGTTTGTCTAATTTTTTTTAAAATGTATATGGCACAGGGTAGAACTTAACATTTTTCTTCACTGGATTCTGGCATTTTATTGAATTCTGTTTGTACTTATTGAAACAGGTTAACAATGCCATTTTAAATATAGCTGAGACTGTTTTTGCTTCAAACATCTGACAAGATTAGCTGTCAGAAGACAAGCTTTGGCCATATGTTTCCCCACAAACTGGAAGCAACAGACATTGCACTGAAAGCTGTTTATGGTTTGGAGTCCCCAAAGGCACGAGTCGGGGAGGGCCCACTTTTGCCTCATGTCTTGGATTTTTATGCAGAATATTTTCAGCCATCAAGTTTGCATGTTTTCCTTTGAATGCAAGGGTTGCTATTGCAATTTTTTTTAAGGTGGCATCTGTTTTGAGAAGGAGAGAATGCATTTTCTAAAATAAAGTTTCTTACTAAAGAACTAGAAGAAAAGTCACTTACTTTCATCTCTTAGAAGAGAAAGATTTCTCCTAAATCTGTTTTTCTCCACTCTTCCTTGTTGACTGTTACACTATTTTTGGCGAATTGATAATCATTGCAAAAGAGGGAAAAGTGTGTGAATACACAAGCTCCTGAGAGATGTCTGGAATCTGTGCCATACTTTGTTCCAAATAGATAAACTGTGAGTTGATCATAAGACCTACCTGTCTTGTATTAAATATTTGACTTAGAGACAAAGTAAACCTGTTCTATATTAGTAGATGCCATAATGACACACTGTATTTCATTTTGATCATTAACAGGGCCCATGGTATGGGCTACCGAGTTTTTGACTTGGGTTAAATGTGACTGTTAGAGAATTAGGATACACTTAATACACTGAGACAACTCAGAACAACAGTACGTATTTAAGAGCAGACAGCCATTCTAATCAGCCTCCAGAATGGCTTACTTTAGAGAGACTGATGAGCATTGGAATGGTATTTAAACCCCACCGTATGTTGTCAGTAAGGGGGTGGCACCTAATCCTGAGAGAGAGAGTGTGTGTGTGTACACACACACACACACACACACACACACACACACAGTAGCAGAAACTCTGTGGTGTCCATGCTCTACTGCTGCTCCCTTTGGAGGAGAGGAGGATTTTCTCATTGAGTAAAGTATGTAAGCTACATGCTTACTGTATGCAATTTTGGGGGGATTGCATAGTCTGATAAGGTTTTTGGTACAATCAGAATTTCTGTCCCTGTCTGCACTGATGATGCCTTGTTTAGATATGTAATAATGCATTGTTAACCTAGCTTCCCTCAATCTGCCCTTGCAGATAGGTGCATGTTATCTGCTCTGTGGTAACGAATATGGTTCTGCTACCACACAGACTGCTGGGTTTAGTAAGAGGAACAGTTTTTCTAACCTTACATGGTGAAAAGTGTAGGAAGAGGAAGAGGTGGGAGGAGCCAGCTTGCTAAAAATGCAATGTGTGCGCTCTGATAGTATATGGCCCTACTGTCTGTGTGTAAACAGAGTAACCTACTTCTCCAGGAACTAAAAGTAAGCCTGATTCATCCCTGCTCTCATTGCAATGGATGTTAATAGACTCGTACCAGGGAGAAGTTGACCCACAATAGTTGTGTTTAACATTGGGCACCTATCAGTGTCGTAAATCTAACTGTTTAAATAGCCACAAAAATAGCAGCGTGCTCCAAAATAAAGAAACATTAAGTGGCTTTTTCTAAACTATAGTACAATTCTCAGTGGAAAAGCTTTCATCAGACCAGGAATGAGGAAAATTGATAGTTATATTCTAATTTTCCCTGAAGCTATGATAAACTTAAGCAAGATTGCACTGAATTTTTTTTTTAAGCAATCGCACTGTTTTAACATTACAAAGGTAGGGTTTTGAACATCAAATTAAGTGACATTTAGGCTGAAGCAACAGCATTAACCACTCCTGACAATGTTGTTGGGCAAAATGTTTAGTAAGTTTCAGTGCATATGCACACGGTCCCTGCACTCTGGGGAATCCTTGCCTTGCAATCATTGTTTGAGGGAGGGATATGTTCCCTCTTCACAGGTCCTTAGGTTTACATAGATACCAGGGAGCTTGTTGCTACCTAATGTGTCATGGATTAATAGAACGTGTGCTGTGAAGAAATGCTGAAAGCAGCAGTTCTGTCCAATTTGAGCTAGGCTGCTATGCACTTTGCATATTGCTCTTTAAAATATTTTGGCAATAAAAGATGCAAGCCCCTCCTAAAGTAAGGGAGGCAGTCACTCTCTCTCCTACAAATTGAAATATTCCTTCCTTTAGGCAGCAAAGAGTCCTGTGGCACCTTATAGACTAACAGACGTATTGGAGCATGAGCTTCCGTGGGTGAA